TAAGTATTTTATAATAAATAAAATAAGTATTCTAGAAAAAGTAAGTAAGTGAAATGCGTAGTTTTAGCCTGTCTTTCTCATCTGTTAATCATTTACCGGGTCCGTTTTTGCAGGTCGGAACTATATTGGGCTAAAACTTTCCTCCCGTAAGCTCTATTCATGTAAGTGGCACCAATACTACCGCCATTATTCACTCGTCTTTGTATTGTATTTTTACAACACTTCTCTTTAACTTCACTTCTTGTTGTTTGTTTGTCTGTCTGTGTGTGTGTCTGTCTGCTACAAATATCATAATCGATATTTAACACACTTCTACCTGTCCAATCGATCTGAAATTTGGCACACTTGCGTAAAGTTGGAGACAATGCATGAATCAATTGACAGAATAAATAATTTTATTATTTAAAAAATTTTTCATTATTAAAAACATTTAAGAATAATTTTGTTTGCTACAAATCTTATAATCCATATATGACACAATTTGACCTGTCAAATAGATCTGAAATTTTGCACAATTGCATAAAGTCAGAGACAATGCATGAATCAGTTGACAGAATAAATAATTTTGATAATTTGGAAAATTTAAATATATTAAAAAAAATTGTGAAAAATAATATTTTTCAATATTTGAAAAAAATTGGAAAATAATTTTTCCAATATTTGAAAATAAAATTAGAAATTCATTGTACATGTGTAACATCCAAGACACTGGATTGTTCAGAAGTGTTGTCTCTAAAAAGTAATTTTTAAACGCATATATTATTGATTCTTTAACTAGCAAGGTTCATCATTATTCCTGTTTGATTATTCCGTTAATTTATTTGCAAATGAAATCTTGAATTACTCTCTGCAGCCACACCGAATGCGAACGAACCGTCGCCCTTAACAACAAGATAACTCTAGTATCATGTTTTTTGATGCTAAGTGTTATCTTTGTTTTTATATCCTCGGACAGCTAACATATCAATAGGTTTCTCGAAAATATTGACATTTTTGAGTCCACGTACGAAGCAATGCACATGTTGCGTTCACAACACTCGCCTAGAATAGCTGTTGCTATGAGAATATACCTGACCTTGTCAGGTAATCAGGGAATCTGTGAGAAACACCAGCCTGCTGTGCACGATATAAATAAGGTGACTTCTTAGACCAACGCACTGCATACTTGGTGGTATTTCTCTTGAACATACTTTTCCTTCAAGAGGCTTGTTGAACTTGTTGACTTTCGTTTGTATTTAAATTTATAAAAGGTTTAATTTAGAGTTATACTGCCCTAGGACCACCCGGATGTTTCCGTCGACGATCATCTGCTTGCTACTGCTCATCATCGGTGAGTGTCTTCTGCATAGGAATTAGAACAACCATTAGGTGAAGAACTGTCAGCTTTTGCTAAGTAGTTCCAGCTTTTGTTAGTGCCTGCTTATTATTATTATTAATAAGAGTGTTGTCAATTGGCAGTGAAATAATTGTCAAATCGTGAAATTAATGAAACCAGTAAAAATCATTCAAGAACTCTGGACGATTTTTTTTTTCAAATTAGTAGAGGGTCATTCGATGTCAAGTGCACAATTTTGATTGAAGATATGTCACACCTGACTATCATCAATTTTGATGAAATTTTACACATTAGTTGGATCGTGTTTCAAACCAACTCTGAAAAAAAATTCAGCTCAAACTATGAAAAACTTGATATGATCGCGCGGCGCCAAATCTGCAACTTCAGGTCACTGCTGTGGCATGTCTGTGCTGGCCTCGAGTGAGGTGGCCGCAGGACTTGAAGAGGTGCTTCTAAAAAAATTCTCAGTTTATTGTTGATATTTTTGGGTAGAATAAGATCAAACTTGCCCGGAAATCAAAAGTGCAGAAAAAATTAACAGGTTCAGTGTCCTCTATATCACAGGAAAATGTATAAATCTATACGATATCTGTACAGTCCATTGCCAACATTCGTAACATTATATACACAAAAAATTTTTGATACAATGTATGTATTGTATACATTGTAAATGAAAAAATTATCAAATTCACTTTGATTTTTCAGTAATTAACTAAAATTTCTAATAGAAGACTCGGAGCAATTTTTTGACAATTGTTAAATACAAACTTAGTAAGTTTTACTAAACCAATTCTGTTGAAACAGTTTTGTTAGAAACATAAAATTTTATACCATAGCATATATGTTAATCATAGCCATGGTGTTCTTCTTGCAATGGAACTCATTTAAATGACTAGAATTTTTTTTAAATTAGATTTTACATTGCAAGCGGCAGTAGAATGCTATGTTTAGATACCCATGCATGTGACAGCTCAGCTAGCTAGTGGCGAAACGTACATGAATTTGTGCTTCCTTTTTCGCTATCTACTTTTTTCAATTTTGAAAAGGCATACTTTTTTCAAGAGGCTTCATTTATTTTTTGAAAGTCAACTCATTTGTTTTCATACCTCTTTATATGTTGGAAATTTTCAAGTTTATCAATACTTACTCTCATTTAATATAATGCTGGGTTGAGTCGTTTATTTCATCCAGGTGAATAAGCACGTGTCAAAAGTGAAAAGCTGCCACAGGCAGCAGCATAGTCTACAGAAATGAAGAGGACTGAATTTTAAAACAATTATTGCCCATAGCTAGAATTATTTATCGTTATTATTATTATTATTGTTATTTTTACTATTATTATCATATTATTATTATTAAAATTATTCTTACTATTATCTATTACCCTAAGCCAGAATTTGTTGGGAAATAGACACAAGTACCAAAGTTCAAGCCAAAATTTTATTTGAAAGCTGCATGAAGCTTCACAGAATTCAGCGCCGTGTTAAATTGTGACAATACAGTCAGGCTTCCTTGAGTGGAAACTGGAATGAAAGAATACTGGGCGTCACTGCAATGAATCTGAATGCACAAAGTTCCACGATTCACACAATTGTGTTCACTATTTCAATTTTAGCGGGGTAAGATAAGAGAGTGGTAGCATTCCCAGGCTAACCTCAAACAAATCAATTGAGCACAGATGATGAATAGCTGATTAGCTGGCACCCGCTGACGCGCAACGATTACGCAGCAAGAGAGGCGGTGTCAGGTATTCTGCAGTTATACTGTGAAAAGGGACTGGACTTTACTTACTAGTACGAAATTGAATCGGGCATATCAAACTTCGGAATAAGGTCCAAGGTAATTTCCATATAATTGGGTAATACTATATTCAAGTTAATTCAACTTACTTACATTCTAAATTAATGCCGCTGGCTGGTTATAGAAGTGGCATGAAAGCCTTTCAGGGTGAAATTGTTAATAGGTGCAAGTAAAAAGAAATGAAATACTGGCCGGCCCAACTTAAGGGTAGCAAGGTAAGTTTAAAGCGTTAAAACGCAAAAGTAGGCACAGAGGCCGGCAATGATGCCAACAATAATAAATGCGTCAACGACACCTAGAATGTTGGGCTAGACCAAAGAGGTGACACTGCATGCATTAAAGTAACAAATTAGGGCCCTTGGCATGCATTAAGTCAAATGGATTAATAGGAAAGTCTAGAGTTTGCACCAAGTTTACAGTAACTGCATCAAAGAACAATTTTTAGAGTCACTTCCAAGCCAATTTCTTCCCCTTTCTGAACAAAACCTTCTCCTCTGAAGTCGACTCGCTACAAACTTAATCTTCCTAGTCTCCGTTACATTAAAACGGAACATAATTTCCAATAAACAAACCAGACTAACAAAATTTCTAATAAATTATCGTTTGTTATAGTACAGAATTTTCTCTTTGTTCAACAAAATTGGTATACTGCAACTGTTCAAACATTGTCGGAAAATGGCTCAGAGGGAATGAAAGTTAGGATGAAATTCACTGGAAAAACAAAGTGAACTTTTAGTCAATATTTAATGTATACAATGTTACGTATATTGGAAATAGACTGTACATGTATCGTGGAGACTTATTCATTTTTCTATGATATACAGGGCACTGAACTTGTGCATTATTTCTGCTCTTTTGATTCCCGAGCAAGATTGACCTTATTATAAATGAAAAATAATAACAATAAACTACTGAAACATTTTTTTAAAAGCACCTTCTTGAGTTTTACAGACACATTAATTGCCAAATCAGTGGCTATCACAGCAGTGACCTGAAGTTGGAGATTTCGAACCGCGCCATCAGGGACATTTTCACCATCCCTCCATTGAGGGCCCATAACTTCAAAAGTTTTTCGTATTTTCAGCTGAAATTGTGGCATCGGTTCTCCTTTGCTCCTATTTTTTAAGTTTTTGTATAATTTACGCACCTAAGCATGACAAATTAATTGTATTATCAACTTCGAATCCTCATATGGCAGGCGCTGTCGCAGCCGACTGTCCTGAAGGCTATGAGGTCGTCGGGTCCAAGTGCATCCACCGTTACACGGGTGGATATCTGACGTACGACGAAGCGGCCACTTACTGCACCCAGCACTTCGGCAGGCTGCCTGTGCTTAAAGACTGCGCTTCCTTCACTGATGTCGCCAACTATGTCAACGATGGATGTAAGGTTATAACAGGAAAACATGTTAAAGTCAATAGACTTGCAGAGTAAAAAACTTCTGTTTTCAAAATGTTTGTCATCTTAGAAACATTGTAAGTCGACCCTCATAAGTTAGAAGTTAATTTCTGCAAAAAACTCTTTCCCTATGCATCAACTTGATGTTTAGTGGGACCAGAATTTCAGCGAACATAATTAATCTGTAATGGGGCTTCTGTTTAATTTTCTTACAATATCTGTATGACTATATTATCATTAGACAAACGCTGTGCATGCCTCTACGCTGATTTTTGTAAACTTGGTGAGTTGGCATGCCCTCTTAGCCGCGGGTGGAAAAATTTGATTCTACACTAATACTGCAGTAGTTATTCACTCACAATTGACCTGTGTAAAACACACAGCTTCTGTGTGATAGCCGAAAATGTCAGGTGGCTGTACCCCTCGGCTTTGTGGTGACAGAGCAGCTGCTGGGAGTGCAACAGCCGCGCAACTCGAGGAGGTGGCCGGGTTGTTAAGAATCGGCGATAGGCCAACAGTACCGAATCAACGCTGAAAGCACTATATTAATATTATTATAACGTATTAATAATATTAATTACACATTATTATTTCTATTTATATTGACGTTGCTTTCCATCAGACACAATTAATTACAACAAGGGCTACTGGTTAGGCGCGACCAATGGAACGCTCACCAATGTTTGGCAGTGGAGTGACGGAGCGGCCGTGCAAATGGGCGGTCCATACTGGGCCCTCGTGAGTATATCCATGTTTTATCTGTACCTGACACAACATAATTGCACATCCGTGCCGATATTTTTTCTCTACCCTAATATATGGATAATCTATCGCGTAGGAATGATGCCGAACATTATTATAATTGTAAAGTTTAAATCAGAATAATTATGTGACGAGATAAGCTAATTCCTCATAAGTAGATAAATAAAATATATCAATCTCAGTCTATAGAGAACTACCTTGTATCTTCCAGCGTAAAGAGGATATTTTTCCGCAAATAACAGAGTTTTTGATTAGCAATCTAACCGAAACACATTTTACAAGCAAGGCGTAGCAAGGATCGTTACGCCACCTATAATGTAGCATGCCTACCTATAACCATAGGTGCGCCACCCTCAATTATTACTTGGGTAGTAGGGAATCTTTATTGAGTGATTACATTCAGTATATAGCGCTAGAAATATTACAGCTGACCAATTATTGCATTGAGTGCTTCATGTGATACAATTGATCAAAAACTTTGAACAGCTCCCTCTAGTTAGATATGTTCCTCAGAATGCTGGAGATAATTTGGCAACGGAACCTGGCGGTGGAACGAGTCAGAACTGTGCTTATATAGGGGATGTCTCGGGCTATTTAATCCGAGACTACGGATGTGATGATACTGATTTTCCAGTGTGCTCAAGACCTTCAGTAGATGGTGAGTTACTCTTCTGTTTTGAAGCCTTTTAAGTAAACCTGAACAGAAAATTGGAGAGAGTAAACCTTATGTGGAGGAATTTGTTCTAAGTTTTGATTATTATATGCAGTCAACTGCCAAATTAATCTCTTCGAAAGAATTATACGAGCAAACCACATAATTGAGCAGAACATTATTACGAATTTGTTCATAATATTGATTTGAATGTTTAATTTTCAGGAGTTAGCTCGCAATATTAGGTTGATATCTTAGAAATATTTACGGCTCAAAAGTGAAACAATTTAATAGATGCTTCAAGATTATCAAAAAGAAGGAGGAAAAGTAACCATAATGAAGGAGAGCTAACAAACTTACAGCTATCCAGCTCAATAAAAATTATTAGGTGAGGGGCGTCATGCAATAGGCATGATGAAATATCTTCATCTAGAATAATCTAATATCTTTCATTCATTCCACGCTTAACATCATGGATATGTATTCTACTGCAGGTCTCTGCCAGCATCCTTTTGTTTTGGTTGGCACTCAGTGTGTTCACATAGTTCCTGCCGAATACACCTGGCCCGAGGCTCGTACCCAGTGTGGACTGGTCGGTGGGGATCTGATTGTTGTAGACGACTGCGATCAGTACCACAAGGTTGCCCTCTACCTCGATGAACAAGGTAACCATTTGAAAAGTTCTGTATAATCTTTCAAAAAACACTGCCTATCAAACCCTAATGATGCTTGTACGGTTAAATTTAATTGAGATTATTAAGCACAGAGCTGTGGAGTTGAGGTTTAATACGCGAGGGATGTAGACCTGCATACCTTTGGTTAAAATTCAGACCATGATTAATTTCTATTTACCCCCGCCAGCCTATTGCCTTCAGAAAGTGGTTAACTCTGGAGGACTTCCCTTTCTCATTATAGTGACATTTATATCGTGAGTGCCAGGGACACAGCAGCAGTTTTATTCAGAAAAATATTTTGAAACTTAATTCCTTATTCCCTAAATTTGTTATCTCTTTTCTGAATAAGGTTACCCTGACTATTGGATCGGGGGCTCAGATGAGGCCGTGGAAGGACAATGGCGCTGGGTTGACGGTTCGCCGATGACCATGGGACTGCCTTACTGGGCAACTGTAAGGATACTGTCTCGTAGATATTTAAAAGAAGTGCATGAACAAATATAAACAGCAAACTTAGAGAGGATTAATATAATCTGATTTTGAAAACGATAGAAATTAAATGTTTGTCTTCCGAAGCTGGATGTCGGTGATGTAATCATTACATGGTAGTGGCATTGCCAAGTAGTTTACTTAGCGTAATTCAGGGCATTAAATTCACCTCTCAGCTAGGTTTATATGCAAATTAAAGAAGTTCATCTTGCGTTCGAGAATTAACTGCAAACATAATTTGCTGTTCTCCCATGGACAAGATTTCGCGAATTTCTTTAGCCTATTCAATCAGCTACAAACCAAACTAATTTCATAAACTACAGTTTGTTTCCTGGAAAATAGAATTCGTTTCCATAGAAAAAGCGAGTTATGCGCTGCATGATTTGATTTGTTCAACTCATTAGTTTTTGACTAAGACACTTATGTTTTATACACGTATAAACTTAATATCAAAAGTTACTTTCCTCGACTGTAGATATCTGAAATCAGTTGACTTTAGAAGCAAACTTTTTACTGTAATTGAAGTAAATGCTCTTGAATTAAAATTTATAAGCAATGTGTATAGCGACTTAATCGCAAACTTATGACAAAACCAAATTTTGAAAGAATTCAAATAGAGATGTATTAAAAAATTAGGTATGTATAAAAAATGAAAAACTGGGATCGAATAAAGTCATTTTGGTAATACGAAACTATGAAGAATCCAGGATCATAAAATATTTCTGTAAATACTGTAATTTAAAGAATATATAATTGCATTTCTACATCACAACAATGATGTGACAAAAATTATTGAAGATGTTTGCTTTATTTTTGAGCAGTCTACAGAGGGACCGCAAGAACCCGACAATCCTGGAAAGCAGAACTGCCTGGAGCTGAACTGCGCGTGGATGTACCGCTTCAGCAGCGCGTGGTGCAGCGATTTAAGACGGGTGATCTGTGAGGCAGACCCCATCTAGAGGAGTGCTGTTCATGCCCCATCTAGAGGAGT